CTAGACTTATCACAAGTCTTAGTTCCATTAAACCTCGTATAATAACTAATAAGCACTCACCTGGCCTCACTAGTCAATATTGATCTCTTATCGTTCCTTGATTGATCTTACTTGTCCGATGTTCCAGAACTCATCTAAGCTCGATATCTACATAAATATCATCTAACCTTGAAATTTAATACTGATAGCTTAAACTAATTTAATGAACCATAATTCACTTTTTCTCTTAGGGGTGTACCGATGCACTATGGGCGCATCGGTACACAAAATAACTTCAAAATTACCATGCATCGATGCCTTCCAGTATGCATCGATGCATATTCAAAATTTTTCTTAGTGCATCGGTACACATTCATAGTGCATCGATGCACCTTCCCAGAATAGACTATTTTTACTCGAAAATTATCAACACTTCACCCAATTTTCCAATATTAAGCCCTAATTATGCTACCAAACTTAACTATAATCACTTTAACTAACTTCTATCATTTCAACACCTTATTTCCTTCCATATATTTCCCAAATCCTTAAAACCAATAATCTTACCACATTTTCCATGTTATCCAAACTTAATTCTTACTCTTATAACTTCTTATTCTCATAGATGACAAGTCAAATTCAACTTCCAAATTCATTTAAACCTTCTATTTCAATAATTCACTTAAAAACTCCTTTTACTTAATCTCTCCTAACTTCTTCATTCTTTGTTTTTGAGATAATTTAAGTTTCCTTAAGCTTAAGTATCACCTAAGGATCAAACTCTTCTCTTAAAATCAACAAATAATTAAATAACAAAAACTTACCTTTGCTTTAGTGCTTCCCGGTGGAGAAGAAGAAAACTGGAGAAGAGAATATAGAAACTCTTGTTTCCTACACATGTCCCACGTGGATATATATATATATAAATATCCTCAACCAATATTTGAATTAATTTTACTTATCAAGACCTATTTGCCCATTTTTTCCTTCATTTGCTAACTCATCCCTTAAAATATTTCAATTAAACCCTTGAAATTTTTAACTTATTTCAAAATTGAGCATCAAGTTTTTAAAATTTGCATTATAGTCACTGACCCATCTTTTGGGATGTTACACTTATACATTGATCCAATAATCGTATGTAAAATTCTACATCATCTCTTATACGAAATATAAAACTCCGTTAATTATTTAGGCCCCATAACTCATCTATATTCCAAAAGCAATATTCACCGTCAACTGCCTCTCTCGAGTCATTGTTTTCTCCGGTTCGAGTCATTTGATTGCCTTCATCACCCAAAGATGAACTCTCTGGTAAGCTTTCTGTCAACTCAAAACCATATTTAACGTGTTGAGGAACATGCCGGTCTATGTGCACTGCACCTGCCAATGGTCGCCTGTTGAACGATCTTAAGCATTTTGATTTCTTATAGACCCAACACAAGCTAAATTCTTGTCTCAGCCAAAAAAGAAAATAATTAAAATGATGCAAAGGGCTAATTATACCATAAGAGAGTTAATGAAATAGGATTAAGAGTTAAAAGTTTCATACAGAGGAAGTTGTGCAGAATTAGCGAGCGATACCGAGGACACTTCTCCTTGGAAAGCTTTATATTCATTCATCTTCCAATCAGTTTTCTGCCCACTTGGAGCCCTTCCATTGTAGAAAACCACGGTTCTCTTAAACCCAATAGGTTGATCATCAGAATTCAGAAGCATAAACTAAACCAGGCGAACCAGTAGCCTTCCAATACCCAGAATTCGCTAGCCTCTTGGGTCTCCCTCTCGAGCTTCACTTTCATTTCTCGGGACAAAGAAAAACCACTTCTCTGTGTCCTTATGGCACAAAGAAACCCAAAACTCTGCATGAAAAAAAGAAAAACTTGAGAAACCTCAAAATGATCAAAGAAGAGTTTAAAAGAGAAGTCCGTGTAGTTATTTATTTACGTGGAAGATCGGTTGGATTGTAGCCATAAATGTCCACTACTGGGATGACTCGCTGTTATTAAGATTGTTGAGGTTTTCTCTCTTTCCTTCCAACATGTTATGGAGATAAAATGAGAGCAGCTCTTTTCAGTTGGATAGAATCGAAACCCTGGTGGCATATCCTCCATTGTTTTTGGTTATATTTTTCTGTGAGAATGAAACACGGTGGTTGTTAACCTAAGGTATAAACTTATACGGAAAAATATGAGAGAAATTAAGGCAGGGCTACCATGGTGGGGCTAGGCAAGGAGACCAGAAATGTTTGGCGAAAAGGAAGGCACATGGGACTTAGAATTTTTTGCACTTTTGTGGGAAAATCTCTCTCATTCACACTGCAACCCCTTAGAAGACAAGGAGACTAGAAGTTCCATTCAACCTAAAATATTATATTTTTATCACATTTTGATTGCGTCCAAGATCACCGTTTTTTAAACTTAAATTAGATTGTCCCTCCTTAAACTTCCCCTAAACTTGCTCCTCTGCTTAAGCAACGAATTTGAGGTATATATGTTCAGGTAGCTCAGATGCCAGAGCTATATAAAGGCTTCCAAATATTGGAAACTATTTCAACCTTTTTTTGTTAATGTTTTAATCAAACGTTTACACATATAAACAAACACGCTGGAATAGCTCAGTTGGTTAGAGCGTGTGGCTGTTAACCACAAGGTCGGAGGTTCAAGCCCTCCTTCTAGCGTATCCTTTTGTTATCTCCAAAAATATAATAAAATTAATATTAATGGTTCTTTACCATTAGCTAAGACAGTTTGGCCGAGTGGTCTAAGGTTAGGCTCTGGTCCGAAAGGGCGTGGGTTCAAATCCCACAGCTGTCAAAATTAATTGGGTTTTTCAATCTCTTAAATTGATAACATTCGCAAATTTTTCCGTAACTCGGTTGAATCAAATAATTTCAGCCCGTCTCCACTCGCTTCCTTCATTATATAATTGAAAACTGAAAACCTTTACTAATGAAAATATAAAATATGTAGTTTACTAATAGGAAAAATAAATACATTATAAACATCATGTTTGTATAATTTGATTTTTCTATTCTTTAGTCCAAAACATTAACATGGTTAAAAGTTTATTTTAATCAATAGACGTGGATTTTCTTTAAAACACGAAACCTAAAATTAATCAAGGCATTTAAAATGTAGAGTTATATTCTTCAAAACAATTATTTTTGATTAATCGATCATTGAAAAATATAATAAAAGTAAACTCAATATTTATTTTACAAATTTTAAATCTAGTCTGCATAGTACTTGGAGGGGAGCATGAATACTTTAGAAGAAGAAGGATAGTGCTCCTTATGAGTTTAGAATTCATTATTTAAGAAACTATGAAGTAACAAATACTGAACAACTTAGTCAATCAATCAAATTTGATTGTTGAAAAATAAACTCAATATTAATATAACTCGATCTTATTTTTTAAATGGATAAATTACAAAAATAATTAATAATATTTGAATAAATTTTTGTTTTTTACACTAAAGTTTTAAAAGTAATAAATTGATCATTATCGTTATTGATTTGTAGCAAATTGATCGCTCACGTTAGTGACCATTTATGTAGTTTATCATTTTTAAAATTCTACATCAATCATCTAATAAAGTTTTGTAATTATGTTAATGATTTGGGCTGATTCGTTTCATGCATTAACTGGGAACTCAGATAAGATGAAAATATTTTTCATTTATGGTTGAATGGGAAATGTTCAATGTAAAAATACGATGCTGTTCTCTGTTGTTTAGGTACTACTAAATCGAATATAGGTTTCGGTCGTCCTGGTTTCAATTCATGTTACTTCCAGGACTAAGCCCAAAGAGAGATAAGAAATGCCTGGATGGTACTCCATGCGACTATAGGAGTTAGGAATATTAGTGATTAGATTTGTCTTCAAATTTGTTGTATTAGGAAATAGGAAGCATGAACAAATTTTCAAGTTTGGTAATACAAGATAACGTTTTCTTATTCTGTACCGGAAACTGATATCCCTAGTTTCTATATATGGTTTACGCCCCTCTAGGTATACGTTTTGCTCTTTGTAGTCGATCGTGCCTTATATAACCATTAGTCAACTTCCTCGTGGTTTACCTTTTTGGCATAGCTACTACCTTGAAGTTAACTATGTCAGGCATTCCTTAACGGACTTGTATGAGATTTGAACGAAATTGTAGGGAGTGTTTTGGGATGATATAGGACTTATGTGTTGATCCTTTAGGCATGATCTGTAAATGCTTGCATGAAATCATTCACACCGGAAAATATTTCTACGATCAACTATAAGGTTTATGAAAACCAAAAGAGTATGCTTCATTGCAATATATCATTGGTTGTAATTACACGGTGCAAATGATTATGAACCACATGCTTCCTATTATAAGCATGGCTTCGTTTACATTTTACCTAGTATGTCATAAGCAAGGCTTCTGATTTCTCGTGCTCTCGTGCAGGTGACAACAAATCCTAGTGCAGTTGGAGGGTGCAACTGGAGGGTGCAGTTGGAAAAGTTCTTTCAGGGTGAAAAAGTAGATCTTACAAGTACATTGCCCATACTATATCGGCCAGGTTGAGCGTTTGTGTTGGCCAAATGAATTCACTAAATCAATTTTCTACCCAATTTTTTCCATCATGACATTTATTTGGATGCAAACCTAATAAGCATACTTAATTCTCCTAGTTATATGTTATCTGGATTTGAGATGAATATCATTATACAATGAGATGGTTATCTATCAACAAGTACATCCATTGTTATGTTAATGAGTTTGTTACTCGTTTTGGTCTTCGCTCTTCGATTAGTACTTCATTCTTGTAGTTAGTTATATGTTACCTGAACTTAAGATGAATGCAAGTATGGGTTGATCTTGTAGTTAGTTATATGTTACTGAACTTAAGATGGTTATCTATCAAAATGTACATCCATTAATAAGATGAATGCAAGTACTTCATTATACTTAAGTTTACGTTGTCTTTTTTATTCATATCCAAATATTTGGGGGAAATGAGTTGATCTTATGTTGATTTTTTAGCTGAAATTAATAAAGTTGCAACAATCACAAATTGCAGGATGCAGCATGAAATTGATCAGTAGACGTATATTGTAGCCACCCAAAATTTTCCAAAGACTATTTGACCAACCCATGATTTAGAACAAACAAATATTATAGTAACACTTTATTTTAGCAATGAGCATTGCTATTTAACACATGCTCAAACCCAAATCTCAAAACGACTTAAAAACACAGCAGGATGGTTTCATTCCTCTGATTGCCTCTGTCCTAGCACCGGAATATCTTCGTACCTTTTCTGTTGTATATCAATGAAATCATACATACAAGTTAGTACATGAACTACTTAAGCTGTGGAAGCAATTGACTATAACAGACAGAGATCAGAAAACATGCAATTGTCTAACCATTGTGCAGACAATTTCTGAGGGTGTTTCAAGTTGGACTGGGTCAAACTAACCAAATCCTTGCTATAATTATCAAATTGAAACATGTTTTAAGACTTGCAATAAGGCTATATAAAAAGCCAGATTATATTACATTGTTTAGGAAAAAACAAAGAGCAAAAATATACTTCATTTTTGGTTAATACATAACAGTGCATACAACCAACAACAGATAAAATAGACAAAATAGCAAGCAACATATCACCCACAACCGAATAACAATATGAAGTGCTGTAATAACTGCACAGGTGGTACAACCTTCTATTGGGAAGTCCATAATATTTGAGTTTGCAAGGACACATATAATAGCAATACATTAATGGAAGCTAATGAGGTTACTCTTGAACAAAAGTTGACATCTACCTTAAAAGAGTACAGTTAATTCAAAATCCACACCAAATGTAATAAACTAAAGAAAACCATCATTGACTGATATAAAGGTTTAAACAACTTGTATCAGAGAGTAGGAACTAACCTCCCCACAATGCAATCAAATACAAATCAAAGTGTACTCTTGTAAATTAATATATTGAGTTATTGATGACCAAATTTGGGATTAATATTCCGGACAATTCAGGCATAATTAAACTGCCTAAGCTATAAAAATTGCAGCAGAACCGAAATCCCAAAGAATAGAAAATTTACCCCAGCATTGTTGTATTCCCAGAGCCTATGAACTCCATAATCCACAGCCTGCAAAAGTTTAGTCAATTAGAAACTAGGCATTCACCATAAAAAACCATATAATCAATGAAAATTAGCATTACCCAGAACAATAATATTCTAATCAGCAAACATCAGCTGATTTTAAACATTAATTGAAACTCAGAATTTACAATCAAAAAGCCAAATAATCAATGGAACCTATACTATTCCAATCAGTAAACAACAGCTATTTTTAAATATTTATTAGAAAATCAGAGTTTACATTCAAAAAAACAAATAATCAATTAATTCAACCATGCTAAAACCAATAAAATTCCGATCATTAAATTAAAAAGTCCTAACATTGTTTCCTAAAAAATCAACTAGAAAATTTAATAGAAACAATGGATCGAAATTGGAAACGATAGTGATTCAACACGAAAAGGAGTTAAAATTTCACCCGTTCACCGAGGAAAGCGCCGGCGATGACGAAGGTAACGTAGACGGAGTTACGTCGCATTATGACTCTGTAGAGACCTTCAAAAAGGCCTCCTTGACCTCGTCTTCTATATACGTTATCCATGAAAAATCGCTAAGGTAGAGGGAGTCCCTTTTGCTGGGATCTGCGATTAGGGTTTGCAGAGATGGCGTACGCGAAGAGAAGAAGAATTTTGTTTTGTGACGATTAAACCATCGACATTGGCTATCGGGTCGAACCGAATGATATGGATTTTGACTTTCAGTGTCACCGGCCCATTGGCTTTTTGTTTTCTTTACTGTATTAGGTAATTTTTTTTTTGGATAAATTGTATTAGGTAAATTCTTACTAATCATATATCGGATCCTTCAACATTTGATTTTAGAGAAAATAACTTCAGTAACCAAAAATGCCTTATAATGTACGATTTTAACCAACTTTTTTTGGATTTGCCAAAATCACTAACTAAATCGCAATGCGATCGATAATTCGCAACGCAATCTCCGGTATTGCAAATCAGTTTCCATATTCGCAACGCGATTCTGACTATCGCATTGCGATTTTCCTAATTCGCAATGCGAATACGTAAATCGCAACGCGAATCTGATTATCGCAACGCGAATCTGATTATCGCAACGAGATTATGACTATCGCAACGAGATTATGACTATCGCAACGAGATTCTGACTATCGCAATACTGAATTTCAAATTCGCAACTCGATTTCTGAATTCGCAATAGGTTTTAGTTTCGCAACACAAATGTTTTGGGTATATAACTACGCAGCAACAACAACTCATAACCTAAATCCCTAAATCGCAACTCATTCCATCTCCATCTATCACTTTCTCCGGCGACATCCGTTCCTATATCCAACGACATCCTTCCCCATCCGACAACATGTTTTAGTTTCGCAACTCGTTTGTTTAGTAAATTAATTTACAATAATGAAATCATCTAATGTTGATCATGTTTGGATAGATTTGTGTTTTGGAGGGTCATGGGAGAATGTTCATGGTGTTTTACAATATATGCCTTTACCCATGAATCTTTAACTAAAACTGTCATTAAAAAAGTTAACTTATGAAACTCTAATGTTACGTGTTGCAAATAAATTGAATTTAGAGCCCTTAAGTTGATTTAGGCTATCTTATCAGAGAAATGGTAAAGTTTATTTGTTAACCGATAATGAAGATGTTGAACGATTCATTGCTTACATTAGTGTTTCAAGTGATGATGTTACATTGTATGTTGTTGAACCTAGAAGTAGTGAAGTTGGGTCAGTAGCGGGTAGTAATCAACTAAGTTTTTCAACCCCAGTTTATGGTGCTCAAAATTTAATGGTTCCACTATAATTTCATCACCAAGCAAATATTGTTTCACCACATTTCCAATACCAAACACAATCTCAAAACCCACAACCTTTCCCTAATCCAAATCCCAATCAACTTTCAGCACCAAATTTCGGTTTTCGTATTGACCAGTTAGACGATGATGGGCCAACATAAAAAATTGTGAGTACTAGTCAGTATTCGAAATTTGATCTTGGTCAATACCCGGACTTTGATCTTGGTCAATACTCAGATTTTGATGATTTTTCAGAATAAGAAACAGACCCTGCGTGTAATGATTTTGATATTGGTCAATACCCGAATTTTGATGATGAAACAGCCGTTGCCGAGGAAGATGTTGTTGATGATAATGAGGAGGAAGTTACGACTGTAAATGAACATGTTGAACATCCATTCTGTAATTCATATAACCCTGAAGAAGAAAAAGAAGAAGAAGAAATCCCCAAAGAAAAGTCCCCGAAGAAAATGCCACGGGAGTATAACTGGAATATGCCAGAATTACTTCAGATACCGGAAGAAGAGTTGGTAAAGATAGCAGTTGATTGTTACACAAAAATTATTCGTATCAAGAAAGATGATTGTTTTGATACAAAGGAAGAATTGAAGATAGCTTTGTATACGAAATGTGGCTATCAACTAAAAGTTAACAAATCAAGCAAAGATCGTTTCGAAACAATGTGTATGATTGACAAAAACTGTACGTGGCGTATGATTGCAAAGATGATAAAAGATTGCGAAATGTTTCAAGTTAGGACTTTTATTGATAAACATACATGTTCAAGAACCCAAGTTTTTCCTCACCATAGACAGACAAACAAAAAGGTGTTGGGTGGTTTTCTGGCTGAGTTAATGTTTTTGAATGGCAGGGTATATCGGGGACATGAAATTATGACTGACATGAATGCTCGGTTCAAGATTAGTATCTCATATTCTCAAGCTTGGAGATCCAAATGTTATGCCTTGGAATTGTTGAGGGGGTCGCCAGAAGCATCGTTTGCCCAACTGTCGGCTTATTGTCACAATTTAAAGCTGAAAAATCTTGGGTCGGTAACTCATATCAAAACAGATAGAGATGAACGCTTTGAGTTGCTATTTATCACCATTGGTGTTGCGGTTAGTAAATCAATATAATTTTGTTGACTCATTTTTGTTAGTTACATGCATTTCACATTTAAATGATTATATTTCTTGTGTATATGATTTTGTAGATTCGTTCGTTTATTACTTACATGCGCCCAATTATTATAGTTGACGGAGCACATTTAAAAGGTCGATACCTTGGAGTAAACTTATTAGCAGTAGCCATGGATGCTAACAATGGGATACTGCCAATAGCTTACGGGGTTGGCAAATCTGAAACCTCTGATTCATGGACATGGTTTATGGGGCATCTTAGGGATTGCATAGGTCATATTAGCAATCTGACAATCATATCCGATAGGGCAAACTCAATTGACAACGCTGTTAGAAGGTGTTTCCCATATGCTTTTCATGGACTTTGTGGTGTTCATTTGTATAGAAATCTAAAATTAAGGTCTGCTGGTATAAAAAATCACAAATGGACATACTGGAATGCTGTAAAAGCTTATCGGGAAGTGGATTTAAATAAGCATATAAACTGTTTTAGACGTGTTTTGCCTCAGTGTGCTCAAACACTAGAACATGTCGGGTTTGAAAGATGGTCAAGAGTAAATCAACTTAGAGCAAGATATGGTTTCATGACGTCTAATAGTGCATAATCAATCAACGCTCTAAGTCGTCATTCCCGGAAATTACCCATTACTATGTTAATGGAGTTTTTTCGAGCCTCTATTCAACAGTGGTACTACAAGAAAAGAAACCATGCATGTATTATTTCTTTAAATTCGTAACTTATCATATATTTTACTAAGTATTATTTATTTAAATTTACAGGAACATTGGAACATCGTGTTACACCATGGACTGAAAAAAAGATAACGAAACGTGTTGTGAAGTCAACGTCATGGAGAGTTGAACCATGTTTAAACACTTTGTTTGAAGTACTGGATAATAACTTAAATGTGCTTGTCGATCTAAATGCAAAGATGTGTAGTTGTATGAAATGGCAAACATCTGGTTATCTGTGTGGCCATGTTATAAAAGTTGCTCTTCATCTAAACCAAGATGATTCAAGCGCATACGCTATGGATTGCTACACTACAGAAGTATATCGACAGACTTATGTCGAGATTGTCTACCCTATTCCACATCCTTCTGAGTGGGACATACCAGATGACTTACAAACAGTTTTGCCACCAGCCATGGACAGAAGGCTACCTGGCCGACCAAAAAGTCACGATCGTATACCGTCTAAGGGTGAAGAGAAGAAGAGATCGACATGTAGTCGGTGCAAGGAAAGTGGTCATACAAGGTTGACATGTGGATCACCAGTGCCATCACAATCATCTTTTCCTCTACCAAAATATGGATCCTCATCAAAATCCCAATCACAACCGGCTTCACCTTTTGGGACTGTTAACTTAGGTGATTTTTAAATGCAAATGTTGTATTATGTGTATATTATGTGTGAACTTTTAACATTTTCAGTTAGGCATGTATTAGTAACTTGAGTTTGAACATTGCTATGATATGTTCAGTTGTTATCACTTATTAGACATTCATTTGACTATCGCAACGTGGAAATCGCAACGCGAATATGACTATCGCAACACGGAAATGACTATCGCAACGCGGAATTGACTATCGCAACGCGGAAATGACTATCACAACGAGAGAATCACAATGCGAAATGAAAATCGCAACGCGAAATGAAAATCGCAACGAGTGAATCACAATTCGAAAATGAAAATCGCAACACGAATTTAGTTTCGCGTTGCGATTTTTATTTTCGCATTGCGATTCTCTCGTTGCGATTCTCATTTCACATTGCGATTCTCTCGTTGCCATAGTCATTTCCGCGTTGCGATAGTCTGTTTTGCATTCAACATAATGCAGATTGAAATAAACAAATCAACTATTACATTTCAATCAATTAAACAAGCACAAATAATAATTATGTACACATCAATTAAACAAATCAACATTTACAAATCATCTTTTACAAATCAATTAAACAATCAAAAAATAATAATAAGAATTATTTTCTCATCAATTATTGAATCAACTTTTGCACCCATACATCCATTTCACGCAGCTCACTTCAGGATTAACCTGCAGAAACCAAACATTGAATCAACAACACTTTCTACACATCTAAAACATACAAACATCAAATTATTGAATTCTAGCTACTTAACCAAACATTTTCAAACCAAAAAGAGTATATATGTTTAAAAACACTTGCATTTGACTTACAAATTGTTTATGGACACTTTCATAATGCGGATGCAGGTAAGCAACATTTCGCATATATCGCTCTAGCCATAAAATACCGAAACCACAAGCCTACTGCACCTCTATCTCTATCGGTGGGAGGTAGAAACTGTGTACTTCCTGTCGTCAAACGCTCCAAGCACATGCATACGAGAGGAAAACAATCCCCTCTGGCTTCCTTCGTTTGTTGTGGCTGGTCTCATCTCTGATAATTGTAACATTGAACTTCTTTAGCTTATTGTTTCCAGAATTAGTCCAATAATTAATTGCATCCAAGAATTTAGCCAAATGAGAGCTCCATCCCTTAATAATATCTCTCAAATCAGACAATGATATGTAATTTATCATGCTGTCATATACTATTGTCTTTAGGGATGGGAGCTGAAGCTCGACGAGAAGCCAATGAGTACGTTCCAAAACAGGGATAAACACCTGCATCGAAATGTAATAATTCAAATTGTGCACTTATTTATGAACACCTTTAAAATATTTAAACAAATATACTAACCTTATCGACCTCCCACCATGCAGGATAAAGTTTAG